CGCATACATACACGCATACATACATGCATTCATACATACATACATGCATACATACATACATACACACACACATGCATACACACATACATACATACATACACGTATACATACACGCATACATACATACATGCATGCATGCATGCATACACGCATACACGCACACACGCATACATACATACATACATACATACATACATACATATATACACGCACACATACATACACGCTCGCATACATACATACATACACGTTCGCATACATACATACATACACGTTCGCATACATACATACATGCATACATACATACATACATACATACATACATACATACATACATACATACATACATACATACATACACGCACACATACATGCATGCATACATACATACATACATACACGCATACATGCATACACGCATACATACATACATACATACATACACGCATATATACATGCATACACGCATACATACATACATACACGCATACATACATACATACATACATACATACACGCACACATACATGCACGCTCGCATACATATATACATACATACATACATACACGCATACATACATACATACACGCATACATACATACATACACGCATACATACATGCATACACGCAAATATACATGCATACACGCAAATATACATGCATACACGCAAATATACATGCATACACGCAAATATACATGCATACACGCAAATATACATGCATACACGCAAATATACATGCATACACGTAAATATACATGCATACACGCAAATATACATGCATACACGCAAATATACATGCATACACGCAAATATACATGCATACACGCAAATATACATGCATACACGCAAATATACATGCATACACGCAAATATACATGCATACACGCATACATACATGCATACGTACATGCATACACGCATACTTACATGCATACACGCATACATACATACACTCATTTACCTCCCCATGCACACAGACAGACGGAGAGAAAAAAGCAGATTAAGATAAAAAACAAATAATTATTTATACTTCAGAAGAAAAGCCTATACTAAAGCAAGGAAGATAGAAATACATAATTATTGGTCTTTTCTTCTCCCTTGCTTTTTTATTTGTAAGAAAGAATAAAAGAACCAGTAATAAAGTAAGGAAGAAGAGGAGGAGGAGGAGGAGATTAAATGTTCTTAGCGATAGCGGTAATCAATCGTCCTCTTGTCAACAGAAGTCCGAAGCTGCCATTTTTTAGTCTGCTACAGGCTTCTCTATTTTTTTTAAATTCTATTTTCGGAATATAAGAGTAATTTGTCTTTTGATAAGTGCACTTTTTCTTTAGTTTTCGTTGTGTTTTAAGATGCCTGGAACGTTGGTTGGAATAATGTGAGTGGTATTGATACTGAAAATGTATATGGAATAATGTTATATATTTAAGTGGATTTTGTAGTTGCAGACAAATGATAGTGTCCAGGTTTTCTCTGTCTATGATATATATATATATATATATATATATATATATATATATATATATATATATATATATATATATATATATATATATATATATATATATATATATATATATAGCATATACGTGAGAATCCGTTTCTAATGAATTGGTGTGGATGATGATGAAACGGGTGGAATATAATCTGTAATAAATGTAGTTAGTCTTGAGGGGAAATTATTGAGATATATTGAGATTCTCCAGAGTTAAAGTGGTCTTAGGGAATGGTTATGAGTAAGTAAAGATAAATGTCAAACGGAAACACACTCATAAAATACGTACTGGATTCCACACAAATCTTATCATGACCAAGCTAGAAGCAATGTGTGAGTAAGGGGGGGGAGGGGAGGAGAAAAAAAGTGATGCACATGTAAACTGTATTTCCAAATACAGAGGTATCTTATCATTGAATTATTAAATATGAAAGGTTTTAGAGTGACGAGGCGAGAAAGTTGACAGTGATGGAAAGGGAGGTTCAGATAGCGCATTTGTGAAGGCAAAGATCACTTGTTTAGTGAGTCATGTGTGAAAGATGCATAGGTTTACATACATACAAAAGTATATACATGATAAGTGTATACATACATAAGTATACATGCATGCATACATAAGTATATATATACATGCATACATACATACATACATACATACATAAGTATATAATATATAAAATATAATATATAAAATATAATATATAAAATATAATATATAAAATTAAATGGGGAATGGGGAAGAATCAACGAATAAGTAATGTAATAGATGATAAATAATGAATATTGATAAGCTGATATTGGTATAAAGAGATAGATTGACTCTTTATAAAGAATTTATACAGGAAATATGGATATATTTGAAATAATGATTATGAGATGTGGAAGACTTACTGCATAAATTATAGTAATTAGTTATAGATTGCAATTACAAATAAGTTGATGATTAAAATATTTCAATATTTTAAAATAAAAATTGTCATTGGTTACGAGGTTTTAGTGTAAGTAAAAGGTAGAATTTGGTGGTTATAAAGATATTAGAATAATCATCTGCATTATACTTTTCTTGAATTACATGTCAGAAACGAATTAAGAGGCAAAATAAATGTATTTAACCAGTGTTCTCACTTTAAGTCTGAGTAGTGAATGATGATACTTATAGTTACGTTTACAATCGTAATGTGTAAACTTTATGATAAATGTCCACTATTTGATTAAATCGATTGCGTGAATGGATTTTCGGGCCCAGAGGGTGAGGTTCCTCCCCTGCCTTTGCTCTGTCAGTTCCAGGCAGATGGAATGCATGAGTTTGTCATTCTCTCTCTTTCTCTCTTTCTTTCTCCCTCCCTTTCTCTCTTCCTCTCTCCCTCTCCCTTTCTCCCTTTCCTCTCCTTCTCTCCTTCTCTCCTTCTCTCCTTCTCTCCTCTTTCTCTTTCTCTTTCTCTTTCTCTTTCTCTTTCTCTTTCCCTTTCCCTTTCCCTTTCCCTTTCCCTTTCCCTTTCCCTTTCCCTTTCCCTTTCCCTTTCCCTTTCCCTTTCCCTTTCCCTTTCCCTTTCCCTTTCCCTTTCCCTTTCCCTTTCCCTTTCCCTTTCCCTTTCCCTTTCCCTTTCCCTTTCCCTTTCCCTTTCCCTCTCCCTCTCCCTCTCCCTCTCCCTCTCCCTCTCCCTCTCCCTCTCCCTCTCTCCCTCCCTCTCTCTCTCCCTCTCTCCCTCCCTCTCTCCCTCCCTCCCTCCCTCCCTCTCCCCCCCTCCCCCCTGTGTGTGTGTGTGTGTGTGTGTGTGTGTGTGTGTGTGTGTGTGTGTGTGTGTGTGTGTTTGTGTGTGTGTGTGTGTGTTTCTAAAGTGCACCCCCCCATTGAATTTATCCTAGCAGTGCCCACGTAAAGAATGTTGGGCTTTTTGTGCAGTATTGAAAGCACATGAGCTATAATAAGCATGCATAATTACCCATACAGGACAAAGGTTCCGATGAATAATACGTCTTTGGATGGCTAATCTGTTCCTCTGAGTGAAATAATGAGCTTCAACTTCTTCCCTCCTGTGATGTGTAGTGTTTGAAGTCGTATGGGCATCCCACCATCACCAGCTTTCTAAAGTCGGTTCCTGAAGATGAATGGCGTTACAAACTGTCCAGATGATGTCAAATTAGCCAGTGACCCGAGTCGAGCTTACCTGGCCGACTATGCGAGGAGGAGAGTCCCCCGGCGTGTGATCACTGAGAATGGTATAGTGTTGCCAAAGCCCCCAAGGGAACCAGCAAGGAGGCACAGCATAGGGAGTTCGCTGACAGTACCAAAGGTCATCATCCAGCCTGTCTCTGATGAAGAAGCTGCCCAGGAGGAACCGGCTGACACGGCATATACGAGACGGGGTCAAAGAGCAAGTTCTGTGAGTAGGATAGAAGATGGGGTTGAGCTCTGTGATTTCCGCTCCGAGGAGGACCAAGAAGAGGAGAAGGAAGAGGAAGAGAGAAAGAAGACGCTGAGTAAGAGGCGGAGAAGTCTGCTAGGGATTGATGGTGTTAAAAACTTCGTCAGTGCCTCGTTTGATGTGAGTTGTTGCTGCGGCAGATGCCTGATGCTATGATAGAAGAGATAGATGGCTTAGAGTGACTGCTTTCTCCCTAGTGTCGAGCTTTGTATTAGTCTGTCTGATAACTTGATAAAACAGTGGCTTTATTACCTTGCTGAAGTCATAGCAGTTGAATATTTGATGTTCAACAACTGTAGACTAATTAGTAGTTCTGTTACTACAGTATGAAGCCTGTCAGTGACTCCGTTCAACTGGCTGGGATGTTTTTTTTGGTGCCAAGTATTTCTGCTGGTTCATGGATTCTTGCAGATCTGTCAAAGTGGTTGTTTTTAGAATTTTCTTTTATATTTCATCTTGCACAAATTCTGTCATTTTCTTTGTATAGGAGATGGATCCTTCCAAGACCCAACTGTTATGGTCTCAATGTAACTAATTCCTGTTGATCTGGTATTTTATCTTAATATGTTGTGCTGTATATTTTCTACATTTTTTTTCATTGTCTTTCCCATTTGTCAAGAAGGGGAATTATCCGCTCATGTAATACAAAACAGTAACCTGTATTTTGCTGTTCATTCTTAAGAGCTCCTTTTACAACCTACTGTGATAGGGATTATTATTGATTTCTATGCATTTTTTAAGTACCTGCTGCTGCATTTAGAAAGGCAGCTGCATTTCTGTTAATTTAATTTTCCATTAATTAAAGTAACCTTTTTAAATAAAAATATATATTGTGTCATTATGTTAATCCCACTCTACCATCATGTTATACTACAATATCTATTTTTCAAGATTGTATTTTACTAGACCTCTTGATGGTGGTGTTAATGATGATGATAAATAAAACAGCATTTAGAAAATATGACCAATTTATTGTCTTATCCCAGACTGTGAAGGTAAGTGTTTTATTTGCCAAACCTTGGGATGTCTTCCATCAAGAATATTTCTGTTTTTCTAATTAGTTTCTGTTTGTTGGCAGGCCTTACGACTAATTGGTGGAGCTCCAGACCTGAAGACTCATGTGGACTGTGTCACTTCACGCAGGATTGTGAAGTTGCCTGGGCTTATTGACATCCATGTACATGTCAGAGAACCAGGTGAGCTCCCATGTTTTTTGTAACATAGCTGAATTAGTCATTCAGTTTGATTGTTAGTATGGAAGTTTCTGTTTGCAAGAGAAGAATATCTACCACTGAGGTAATAGAAAACAGTATTAAGTGTAAAATATCTGTATGATATATATGGCTGTTTCTTTTTTTTCTGTTAGTGCTTGTAGTTAATGATGGCTTGCTCTTGTGTTCAAGGTGCGACTCACAAGGAAGATTGGGCATCATGCACGGCTGCAGCTTTGGCAGGAGGTGTGACACTCATTTGTGCCATGCCCAACACCCAGCCTCCTGTCACTGACCTTGATACTCTCACGCTGTCAAAGGAGGTAAAAAGAGATTGGTCCCAGTTGCTAATTGATACAGAAGAGTTTTATATTTTTTCATTTTAGAAATTAAGGACAAAAGCTTTGTTTTCTCATAATGTTATGGAGATAGAGATTTGTGAGTCATCAGTTTGAAGTGAGATCAGTTTCAAAAAAGACCAGCTTGAAGAAAAAGCCTTATATTCCATTCATAAAATGATTTAGAAATATTTTCACTCATGAAACGGTATTCATTGATGAATGTAATATTGAGAGGTCAGTAATTTACATTGCCTTGGTATGTAAATATTACTATAGTATAGGCAGTATATGTGCTGACTAACTGTCTCTTAAATATGATAACTAGATATGTAACAGACATACCTCTCTCTGTATGTGATAACTGATAATCTTACTAATTACTGTTACAATTAAAATTCTCTGTTGTAGCTTGCCAGTCGAGGTGCACGCTGTGATTATGCTATCTTCATGGGTGCCTCAAATGACAACTATAGCACAGCACCTGAATTGGCCCCTCGTTCTGCTGCTCTCAAGATGTACCTGAATGAGACTTATACAACACTCAAGTTGGACGATACAACAGTTTGGCTGAAGGTGTGTTCGATTATAGTCATTGAGTGGATGATTGGTTCTATTTGTTCTTCACTTTTTTATGTATATTTTTCCAGTTGTTTTGTCAAATCTGAATTAATTTAGTTTGATTCATACCTATCTTGATACATTTAAGATATACTTAATGTATCCTCAAAGTATATATTTACATGGTTATAGCCTACTCTTAATTTTTAATTACAGCACCTTGAGTCATGGCCAGCACATATCCCTGTATGTGTCCATGCAGAAGCACGTACCATGGCAGCTGCGTTGATGACTGCAAGCTTGGCATCGAGACCCATTCACATCTGCCATGTTGCACGGAAGGAGGAAATCCTTCTGATTAGAGCAGCAAAAGCAAAGGTAATTAATTGTGTTATCCTCCTTGAAAAGAGTTCAGTATGTTTTTTTATATTGATTTGTTTCACTTTTTGTTTCATTATTTTTGGGGTTTTATAGTGTTTTCAAGTAGTATTATAATATAATCTCAATCTTCATATTATGAAGATTGAGATAAGTGCAGAGGGGTAAAAATATTATTATTAGAAGTATGTTTCACATATCCAATACTTTAAAACACTAAAATCTAACACATGCACATGCAATATCAATAACTGCATTTTTAAAACAAACAGCACATCTTGCATCCAAAAATAAACCTCATTCCCACTCCTACAAAAAGTTAATATCATATGTATTTATATATATTTTACAAGAATCTTTTTCTGTCTACTTTATCAGGGAATGCAAGTGACCTGTGAAGTGTGTCCTCATCACCTGTTCCTTACCTGTGACGACCTGGAACAGTTGGGACAGAAGGGAGAAGTTCGACCTTGTCTCGTCACAAGCGAAGATCAGCAAGCTCTGTGGGACAATCTGGACATAATTGATTGCTTTGCAACAGACCATGGTAAGCTTGGTTTGTTTTCCTGTTGAACGTTATTATAGGTAGTATGTGATGGTGAGCAAGTTAGTACTTACATTCTATATGATTTACATTTTTGGGTTTACTAATGTGTTGATTGCATTGTATGTGCCATTAAGCGAATTTGTATTTGAGGTCTATATGATAAATATAGACTTTGTTGATAAGGTGTTGGTTGCACGGATTGGGATATTTTGTATGATGAATGCTAAACATTAGAGATTTTACATGCCTTTTGCAAATTTCTATTCATCCAACATTTTCTGATCTACATGCAACAATGACTATTGGACTATTGCAGAAGAAAGATAGATTATTAAGTTTAAAGTATGAAATTAGTTCTGAATGCTTGGATGATATTTAAGTAATTACTACTAGAGTTGAGCTCATTTCTAGTATGAGAGGAAAATTAAGATTACAAGACAAATACAGTGATCTTTAGAAGATAAGTTAATAGACATATTGACAATAAATTTCTTAAATTCACATAATAAGATTTTATTTATTTTTTCCTGAAACCATAACATCTGCAAACTGATGTTCTGATCAGTGTTATGTCAGTGTATTAATAGCAATTGTACAGACAAAATATATCCTGCTCTGTTGTATACTAATTATACTAGCTTTACTGTTTGTGTCAGGGTGATCTTAAACATGTACTTCTAATTTCATGCCTACCAGGAAATTTGGATTTCTTAATCAATTCTGCAGATGGTAAGTTTATTGAATCTGTGATATTATTTTCTTTGCATTTAAATACCATTTCTTCATAGTTTTAGGGACATGCAGGAACATCCTGGCTAACTTGAATTGGCTCACATGTTCTAAAACTTAGTGTTAAAAAAAGAATTGCTCTTAAAAATCTTTGTCCATATTACACTTTTTATATTTATATTCATTATTATAGTGTATGTAATAATTATTGATATTTAATTATCATTACTAGATAAGGAAATCTTAAATTTATATTCCAGCACCACATACACTTGAGGAGAAAACAGGGGGTAAGGCTCCACCAGGTTTCCCTGGGCTTGAGACGATGCTGCCACTCTTGCTGACGGCTGTTACGCAGGGCAGGCTCTCAATGGAGGTGAGTTGATGAGTGTTAGAAACGAACAAACATACATGTATAAATTTGTATAATCAGTCATGTATTTATGAGCTGTATCAAGTTCTTTTAAAAGGTACCATTAATAGACACCTCCTCGTCTTCTGATATCAACTCTACTACCATAAAAAAAGAAGAAAAAAAAAAAAAAAAAAATCTTATTTAACCATTAACATAACTCTCCAGGACCTGATCAATAAGCTGCACCACAATCCCCGTCGCATTTTCCAACTGCCGCGCCAACCAAGAACACACATAGAAATTGATCTTGATGCCCAGTGGACTATTCCTGAAGCTCTGCCCTTCAGTAAGTCACAGTGGACCCCATTCGCTGGCATGAAAGTGACTGGACGTGTTCAGAGAGTCGTCCTGCGAGGAGAAGTGGCCTATGTGGATGGACAAGTATGTTTTTCTTATTATTTGCTTTTTTGATTATTCCCTTTTTTTAAACGATGGTTCATGTTTCTTCTTCTTTTCTGGAAGTTATTTATCATGAGTCAGGTATTATTTAATTGAAAAAATATGAGTTATTAAGATAGAAATTGATAATTGTTATTATAGTGCAGTTCTCTCTTCCCATAAAGTGTTCATGATGTAACCAAATTATTCTTTAAAAGGTACTCTTGTCTCCTGGTTTTGGAGAAGACGTCAGGGAAGCCCAACCCCTTACCACTGCTTCCTCAAGCGTCACTGGAGGACCTCCTGTTTTCCCAAGTCCCCTTTGTGCTCATCCCTCGACCATCAATTTGCCACCACACAGTCAGCACACACCAGCAGGTACTAGACACCAATTTGACCATGTGTTTGAGTCAGTATTAAAGGTAGTATGGTGGGATTGGTAACCAATTTGTTATTGAAGTTGCTGCTGTCAGTTGAAGGGAGTGAATATATTCGTAGGTTTATATCAACACTGACTTATAGGGCAGGATTTTGTTGATTATTACTGCTGATATGTATTGCTTTGGAAATCTTAATGAAAAAGCTAAAAGCTAGAGGAGAGATAGGAAAAATTTGTGGCTAAACACACTGATATGATGTCTACTTGTTTAAGATGACGTTATTAGATACTTTTGTTTTCTTTTGATATCATATGTCTTTTGTACTTTTGAAAATGAGCAACTCTTACTTTGGAGTTAAGTTTGATATTCCATGTTGATGTTTTGTCATGCAGTAACACAAAAATGAATTTTTATATTGACAGCAATACTGGATACTTTGAAATGTGCAAGAAAATTTTTTGATTACTAATCAAAAAATATCTCTTTACAGGATTTATTAACCATAAAGTTGCAGTTAATGGAGAAATTCCTACTCCTGCAGAACCAGTCCTGGCAACACCAACAACAGTCACTCCTTCCCTCTCCTCTCCATCACGCAAAGTTGGACAGTCACTTCACCAGACGTCAGGTATTAACAATTAGAACATCAGAATTAAGACAAGTGTTGTGCTCTGAGGGTAAAAAATTTTGAGTGCCAATTTTGAAAAACTGTAAGGCTGTAATCAGCAAATAAGTTATTTTTTCATGGATTAGTAATTACAAATTTGGTAATGCCTATCATTTTTATAATATTGTTTCTGTAATATGATGATAATGATGATGATGATAATATTAATGATGATGATGATGATGATAATGATGATAACATTAGTGATAGTAATGATAATGGTAATGTTAATGATAAAATTAATGATAATAATAATAATGATAATAGTAATAGTTATAATTATGATAATGATAATGATGATAGTGATAATAACAATAACAATAATATAATGATGATAATGATAATGTTAATGATTATTCTAATAAAGGCTAATCATTTCTACAGAGTTGTATAGCGAGATGTTGATGGAGCTTGGTGTGGGAGACTCGGCAGAAAGGAAGGGAAGATCCACGGTAAGACTTAAGACAAGGGATGCATCTCCAGCCCGTCCAATGCCCAGCATCCCATCTGGTTTACCTGGCATAACCACCTCTCATGGCCTTCAGGTAATAACAGGAGTAAAATAAAGGGGTTGTGTTTATATCAAGGAGGTCTTAGAGATATGTGCCTAGTGCCTAAGGAAGTGTATTCTGGTTTAAGACATATGAAGACGAAGACTACATATAAACTTATAGCTTTTTTATCTTCTTTGTCCTATTCTTGTTTTACATCAGTAGGGACTTATTGTATCTGCCTTAAAAGTTACAGTATATTTGTAAATACTGAAGATGAATACTGCATTTTCATATCATGGTGTAGCATCAACACTAAAAACATTACATCCAAAGATGAGCTTGTATGGTGAGGTGTCAGAGATACTGATTTCCTTTTTTCTTCTGTACAAGGGTCAACATGTCCTGAGTGTTCAGGGACTGAGCAAGGACCAGCTGAACCACATCTTCAACTTGGCCCAGACTTTCCGTGTCTGCATTAACAAGGAGCGACCTCTTGAGCACATTCTTAAGGTAAAAGCAGTCTCCACTTGTAAAAAAAAAAAAATTCCGTTTCAGTAGTTTATCATATTAGAGAAATGTATGGTTGGAATATTGATACCTGCTGTATATCATCAGTAGCTTGGCATTGTTGTGAATCATTTATATTATATTTTACAATATATCATCATAATGTGTCATATCAGATGGTACAGTTATGCCTTACTTTAGGCTATTCATTATTTTTGATGAAAGTTTTCTATTTATATGAAAAGAAAATGTATGGCCAAAATTTTAGATGTATAGTCTAGAGTTGTATAATTACCAAGTAATATTAGGTCCTTTAATCCTCTTCACTTCATTTTTTTTTTCCAATTTCAACATTTATTACAATCTGTAAATATTTCTTTCTTTCCTTATGCTTTAAAGGCAGGAATGGATAGAATGCTTGAGGTAAGGTCTATCCCTTGGAACAGATATTGAGAATATTGGTATTTGTACTTCATATAATCTCTCTTTTTTACTTTTAACATTATTATTTGAAGTGAGTAAGTTTAAGTGGGCTCTCACACAAAATCTCTCACACGAACTTGCACAATGAGCCCTCAGATACAAGCCTTTGCACACAAACCTTCCCACATGAGGCCATACTCATGAACTCTCATATAAGAGATTTCATATGTTGCTGTTGATTGTGAATATACATAATGTATCTGAATCATGTTAACCACATGCAGATAAGCACAAGTAGTGGACAAGTTGTATGAATATTTGATGTTAATTTTGATATGTTTTTCCCATATTCCTTCCCTTTTTGTTGGATGGTGAGTCAGCTTCCACAAAAATATGTTACAGCCTTGCCTCCCATGTTCTTCCAGGGCAAGCTGTTGGCACTGATGTTCTATGAAGTGTCTACTAGAACATTCTGCAGCTTCCAGGCAGCCATTCAGCGCCTTGGTGGACGTACAGTTACAATGGACACAAACACTTCTTCTGTCAAGAAGGGAGAGACCCTTGAAGGTAAGGAATGTAGACAGATATGTTGTGTGTTTAATCCTCAGTTTTTATTTTCTTTTGATTTAGAACTGTTTATTTTGTTGTGAAGTTAATTTTTTTGTACTAAAAATATCACCTGCATCATAACTACATATGCTCTAAATATATCAAGAAGAACCTTTTAAGTTGCATTGCAAAGCCTACCTGGTGTTTAAGAGAATTAATACCCATTGCAAAGTATTACAATAATAGTGATAATGGATGAGAACTATCAACTGTAATCAGAGCTTGAAGGTTACAAGACGACCAGTTATTATCCTACTGTGAATCTATTCCCTGAGTGCGGTCTGGTGAACAGGAGTCCAGGAAATGCTCTCCATATCACTTTGTTTTGTTTAAATTTCAGATTCTGTGATTATGATGTCAGGGTATGCAGATGTTGTAGTACTGAGGCACCCTGAACCAGGAGCTGTGGCTGTAAGTATAAGTATTGGTTCTCCATACTTTGTATTCCTGTTTTGTGAAATAATTACAGTTAATAGCTCAAGTTTGACTAAATGAAGTAAACAGAAAGGACTACTCTTTTTAAAAACTATCTGATATTGTAAAATGGGTTTCATTAGTGGTATCAAAATATTAAGATATATTTGTTTACATAGAAAGAAAAATGTGATGCACATACCTATAAGAGATTTCAAACCAAATATTTCTTTTCACAAGATAAACAGAAATTTCATTTATGTATCGTGTACATATCCCTTCAGGCAAAATATCTTTATCCATAAATACAGTGAACACATTTACCTAATTTGCATCCCAAATGATTCTAGAGAGCAGCAGCTGTGAGCAGACGTCCAGTTATAAATGCAGGTGATGGTGTGGGAGAGCATCCAACACAGGCACTGCTTGATGTGTTTGCCATTAGAGAGGAAATTGGTACTGTAAATGGCCTGATTATTACAATGGTAAGAAAAGTGTGTTACGTCTATGCTTTTAAAATGGTATATGGATGTTTGATCATCCTATTTTACCATTTAGAATCATGCTTAAGGATGGGGGAAAAAAGGTTTAATTTGGAGAGAATTTATACCATAGATTAAAAGTTTGCAGTGAAGATACCATATATGATGTATTAGTGAATATTACTTCTAAGTTTGGTTTTGGAAAAGTGATTTCTGTATACACTGTTCTTTGGTATATAATTATCATTATTAGTATTAAATTCCATTTATCTATTTCCTCCCTAACTTCTGTTCCTTTCCCATAATTTTTCAGGTTGGAGACTTGAAGCATGGAAGAACTGTACATTCCTTGGCTCGATTGTTAACACTGTACAATGTGCAGCTTAGATATGTTGCTCCTCCTGGCTTGGGCATGCCAGACTATGTTACACAGTATGCAGCTTCACAAGGAATCCACCAGGTGAGATAATTAATGATTATGTAAAACCTTAAACTAGGAAACACTAAGTAAGGTTTTGTTTGCAGGAGTCCTGTTATTTACTTGTAATTTGTCTTATTTTGTTATGAGCGATCTGGTTCATTGTGTGTAGAGTTATTATGAAATAGTTCATCTAAAAGAAAGGTTATATGAATTAAATCAAAAGGTGTAGGATTTCTGAACTAATTGTTATATTAAGCAGTTACTTTAAATAAGAATGTTAACAAACCCCTGTCTTAATTTTATTTTATTATCACAGGAGGAATTTAGTAGCTTGGAAGCTGCTCTTCCAGACACTGATGTTCTCTATATGACACGCATTCAGAAAGAAAGATTTGGAACTCCAGAAGATTATGAACGGGTAAGAGAAAACCTTTGAAATTATCCAAAGTTAATTCACATGATGATAAAAACATTAATCACTGACTTTCCTAGAATGTAAGAAAAGAGAAATACATTACCTGTCTAATACAGTGAATTTATTAAATTATATATTGATTTCCAGGCCTGTGGACACTTCATCGTGACGCCCCACCTGATGACACGTGCCAAAAGGAAGATGATCGTCCTCCACCCCTTGCCAAGGAACCAGGAAATTTCCCCGGAGTTCGACACGGATCCTCGGGCCGCTTACTTCCGCCAGGCTGAGGGAGGGATGTATGTGAGGATGGCGCTGCTTGCCATGGTCCTCGGGAAGTGCTGAATGTTGAGCGTTGTTTGATGCTAATTGGAAAAAAATTGAAGGAATTGTGTTGATGATGCTATGTGTCTATAGCAACCTTTTTTTTTCTCTCTAAAGATGCAGGAAGATTTAGATGAATCTTGAAAATTTGTTGAAGATGGAAATTAAACTGAATTGCTATATTGGAAATGAAAAAGAAATGTTTCCAGAAGGTAAGATGAGTAATTTAACAATATTAAGATAATCTTTTATGAGAATCCACACAGTATTATATACAATGGATATATTTCATAAGGAAACAATATTGAATAAATGAGCTTCACAGGAAATACTTTCATTTAGCACCTGTTAATCAAAGCTCACTGTAATCAAATTATTTAAGAACTTTTTTTCTTATTTTATTTTGATTCAAAAGGAAAATATCTTGTAGCTTTAGTATATTGCTATTTTGATTATTATAAGAGGAATTTAGGTTACAGTTAGTACTGCATAGGAATCAAAATTATGCCATGAAAGAATTTGTTGAAACACATCTATTTACTGAAAATCATATTTTTTTGTGAAGAAAACACAGTATGTGGCTGAAGGTTAGAATTCAGCTGTTAGAAAAGAGACATTTTCCTCAAGTATATTACTATAAATGCTTATATTTAGGCAAATACTGTATTATTCAAAAGTATTCATGTATGAAGGAGAATCTTGTGGCTGTAGACCTGTAGATTCTGAATCCATATAATAGCTAAACTTAATAAAAACTATGCAAAGAATTTCATTGTCATTCTTTTAATTAGAACCTACTAAGAGGCCAGAACCCCCCCCAATCCCTTGCCCGTTGTTGTTGTGGGGGCTTCGGGAATGGAGACTGAGGTCCAATGTGGGGGATCACCCCTTTCCTCAATTAATTTTGCATGGTCTTTTCTCCCTTTTCCTTATCCTTCTCTTCATCCCCTTGAGAGCTGTGCTGAAAAAAATAAAAGGCTGGCTTTGCGTCAGTTATGAACGGCCTCTGGGAGCCATGTGCATGGTATTCCCTTGGTTAATTGTCTAGCCCTTACCCCTTATGAGGACCCTGGGGGTAGACTTTCTTTTTCCCACATTTCATGCTCACTTTGGCCAATAATGAAGTTTCTTAATCTTCATTGGGGATATTAAGGCTTGCTACTTCACCAACTAGCCTATCTTGATTAGATTTCTCTGATTTCCTGATTTCCTGAGAGAAGGAGTAGTGTTGAGAGAGGTGGTACTACGGAGAGGTCGACAGAAAGGCTGTAAAGTAGTAATAAGGGGGGGGCGGGATAAAAGGTGAAGAACATTGTGGGGTTGGAGGGAACGAAGTAGAGAATGTTTGGAGAGAAGGAATGTCTCCTTGAGATTTAGTATTGACAAGGAGGCATTGAGGAGGAGGTAGTAGTAGTAGTAGTGTTCAGGGAACCATGAGAATTTGAATCAGAGAGGCTACTTGATAAAGGGACAAACCTCATTGCCCCTAATTATGGAAGAGTCTTCATTACTGGCCATGGTAAGCCTAGAGTATTTTGGGGAGAGTAACAGTCCACCCCTCAGGGTAAGGGCTAGACAACTAAACAATGGGGAATACTGTGCTTATGGCTTCCTCAAGCTGTTCAAAAAGCAGTCTTTCATCATTCATGCAACACGATTTTCATATCTTAGGAAGTGGACAGTAGAATGGAAGAGAGAGAAACGAAAAGAGGAAAGAAAAAAGACCATACACAGTTAGTTGAGTCGAGGGCAGAGGTCCGAGGCAATGGTGATCCCAGCACGACAACAACGAGACAGGGATTGGGGTGGGGGGAGATTAGTAAAAGAGGAAAAGGTTAAGAGTGTAGGTGATTGGATGAATGGAGAGCATCTGTGTCTGAGGAAGGAAGATGAACATTGTATAAGAAAGACTGGCAAACTAACCATTATGAAACAATCAATGGGTAATATGGGTAGAGATGGGCGTTGGAGAAGTAGAAGAATCCAGAGAATGGGATAAGGAGACAAGGTGAAGTATCAGGAAGAATATCAGGAGGGAAAAGGGATCTGGAGAAGGACACCGTTGTGACATGAGGATAATGGGGAAAGAATAGGGAATGGTGGTGCAGATGGAGAAGGAGAGGATGAGAGAATGGGAGGGATAGGGAGAATTTGAGGAGGAGGAGGAGGAGGAGAACATCTGGAAATACTTAGAATGTAGAGCGAATAGGAATAGAAGAGTTGGAGGGTGGGATGAGGGAGCGGAGCATTCTCCTGGGTCATGTTTAGGAAGTTTTGGATGTCATCAAGAGTTTCTGGAGGGGAGGTGGGTGGGGAGGTGTGGGAAATAAAGTTTTGCTTGTGATGAGAAGAAAGGATAGGTGTCCGATCGTTCCCGCCTCGTCACAGTGACATCCAAAGCCCAAGCTAAAGCATTATCAAGCCTGACTGACTTTACTGGGAAACCCATTCCTGCCCAACCTCATCTCTCCCTCAATACTTGCATCGGAACGGTCTCTATCTCCTCAACAAACTGCCCTGTCTACATCAAGGATTGGTCAGATTATGGAGAAGACTTGCTCGCCTGCCTCATGATGCAGTATCATAACAATGCTACACCATTCCCCTAGAGGCCGGGGGGAGGGGGTGGTGGTGTACCAATATTGCCAAAATCACTTTCTGTAGACATGATCTCCCCTTTAGCGTTTACATTGACGGAGAGAGGCTCCCTCTCTGACCAGATCAACCTACCCCCGTCAATGCCAGAAATGTTGGTTTCGTCTAGACCATCCTGTCAAACATTGTCGTTCCACAGCTTGATGCACTCTGTGCTCAAACTTGTCATAATCGATCAAACTGTTTTGCATAGTCACGCGCGTATGCCATCTGTAGAGGCTCCCATAATGTATCGACTAGGGGCTGCCCTACCTAGAAGTTTGAATTTGAAATGGCAAGTCTCAGATCCAAACTTGGCCAGACTTTACACAAAGCCAGACAGGAAGCACGTCGACTCTCACTCCCTACTCCAATAATCGCTCTCTCTTCCCTTTCCTCCCAAGATGTTATTACATCTCCCCTAGCATCTCTTCCTCATCCCAATTCAACCCCCTACGTCTCCCAGTCAAATTCTTTAGCCATTCTAAATCCAGACACCCCAATCTCCACCACTGTTCCAGACATCCCAATCACTACTTCAGTACCTACCGCTCCTCCTCCACACCTAACACAAGTCACGATAAAGGCTCCATACCATCTTCTTTCCCATCCTCCCCATTAATTTCTCCCTCAATCCCTCAAACATCTGCTCCTCTTCTCCTCCCTAAGAAAACCTTTGTTTCTCAGACCCCCCCAACCAACTCCACTGCAGAAACTCTCGAAGACATTCAAATCTATTTAGTCATGACTCAATATAACATGCCTACACCTCAATCATCCTCCAATCTTTCTACTCCTATTCCTTCTACACTCAAAGTAACTGCCGACATCATCCTCGTACTCATGTTGCCCCTACACTCCTTCTTCCCACTCCCTCCCAACACATCCTCTCCCCTGTTTCAGCTGTATCATCTCCTCCTCCTTCCCCATTATCCCTCCCGCTTCCCCATTGATGTGATCCTTTGTCACAGCAACCTCCTTCCTGGATTCTCTCCCTCCTGGCATTATGTCCTTAAACCCCTCTCTCCTTTGCCTTACTTCTTACAAAATCCCATACATCTTCCTTTGACAATTACCTTCCTGAACTGCTATACGACTTCTGACGTGTAGCACATTTAATCAACAAACCCCCTTCTTTACCCTTTTCACTATTGCACCTTTCTATATGACCTTTGATGTCTAGCACATTTATATGTTTTAACCATTAACCATTAGGAGCCCAGAATAATCCCCAGTTATTTCTTTGATAATATGAATGAGGACTCATTAGGGACACCTCTTGATGAGAAGTAGTTATTCTGAGTCTGATTAGGTTTCTATAACAAAATGTCTTGTCTTCAGGCCTCTCTCTCATATTAATTCTAGGAGAGACTGGACAACAAAGGTACTGTGTAGTCAAATACTGAGTCACATCCAAAGCAAATAGTGTTCATGTCCTTTTGCAATGTATTATATGATTAGCTTCATCGTATTAGTGCTTATCTGTATTTCATTAAAAGACAAGGTTCTACGCTTTAAAATATTATCATTTGAATTAATAGTTCTACATTTTAAGTAAGATGTAAGCTAGCGTTATGTACGTTTTTTTTTGTAATGGGAATAAACACTGTTTTAGATATTTTCGTAATGAGTAAAAATATATGACAAAGAGTTCTTATTGGAAAATATAAAGCCACGAAATAGATCTATTGATATGAAAGATTAACTACTTGATAAAAAGTACAAAAGTTTGTTGATGATAAAAAAAATGTATGAAAGTTTTTTTTGCTTCTGGTAGCTAAAATTAATAAATACTAAAGCTGATTTTGTTGTTTTTTTAATATGATTAGGAGCTTATGGAAATCGATTTTATTAAAAATTAAATACTAAAATACGTAAGTGTATAGTGCGTTACCTTACCGCGTTCTTAAAACTTTTGGTTAGGAAAGCAAAAATATATGAATAAATAATTAACTACTACTAATGATAGTATTTCACACAAATATGACATGGTCTATAAGGTTGTGTTGCGTCCTGTGTGTTGGCGCCCTTCCATTGGAGACTTCTCGAGAAATATGTAATGGAATGTAGTTTTTCACATGATAGTGATACGTATAGATACAGATATGTGGAGATATCATGGTGTAGTTTTAGAAATATTGGAAGGTAAACTAACTCACTGTTCTAGCGATATGATAAACGATATGCACTTTACATGCCGTGACGTGCAAATGACGTTTTTTTTTTGTCAAAGACGGTTTATAGAATCTTTAAATACTGCAGCCTACAAAAGGATGATACAAATGATTCCTTAACAACGTGTTCTAGATAAGGAATGATGAGCCAGAAAAGAAGATAAAGGAACAGTAAAGGTATAGGTCTACCTCCCAAGCATGAAAGTACCTTATCTCAACCATACAATCTTAACACATTCATCATACTTTCACGCTATCAGTGATAATGATAAAAAAAAAAAACGTTACACTTTCCGCAAATCCATTCTGCAGACGATCACACATCTTCCCACCGCTCTTTTCAGCCCATCAATCACCCTACTTCCACCCTAACCCCCCCAAGGTCTTCTCTCAAACAATCTACAATAATAAAATGAAACGATTACCAACTACACAATTTATTATAACGAATCATCACAAATCCTCCTCGCGTCATCATTGAACTCGCACGTGATACAACTGACTTCACTGCAGATCCAGTCGCGCACAGTCAGCACGTTGGTATACACAGCAGGCAAGCCGGGGCGCCCGCATCCGGTGCCCCAGGAGGACACGCCCAGCAGGTATCCTTCGCGGGTCTTGAGGCCGCCGCCCCAGTCGCCCTGGGGGGGTAGGGGGGAAGGGGCAGGTCGTAAGGGACGGAATGGAAACGGAATTAAATTGTATAGAATGAAATTATGTGATGGGGAATTCAGATTATTATTATTATTATCATTATTATATTTATTTCTAATATTATTGTCATCATTATCATTATCATTATTATCACTATCATTATCACCGTCACTATCACTATCACTATCATTATCATTATCATTATCTTTATTGTTATCATTATTATCAATATTATCATCATAATGACAGCAATTATTACTACCATTACTATCATCATCATCATCACCACCATCATCATTATTATTATTATTATTATTATCATTTTTATTATTATTATTATTATTATTATTATTATTATTATTATTATTATTATTATTGTTATTATTGTTATTATTATTATTATAATAATTATTATTATTATCATTATTATTATTATTATTATTATTATTATTGTTATTATCATTATCATTATTACTATTACCATTATTATCATTATCATTATTACTATTACCATTATTATCATTATCATTATTACTATTACCATTATTATCATTCTTCTTCTTCTTCTTATTATTATTATTATTATTATTATTATTATCATTATTATTATTATTATTATTATTATTATCATTATTATTATTATCATTATCATTATCATTATTATTATTATTATTATTATTATTATTATTATTATTATTATTATTATTGTTATTATTATTATTATTATTATTATTATTATTATTATTATTATTATTATTATTATTATTATTATTATTATTATTATTATTATTATTATTATTATTCATTATTACTATTACTATTATCATTATTATCATCATTATTATTATTATTATTATTATTATTATTATTATTATTATTATTATTATTATCATTATTATTATCATTATTATTATTATTATCATTATTGTCATTATTATCATTATTATCATTATTATTATTATCATTATTATTATTATTATTATTATTATTATTATTATTATTATTATTATTATTATTATTATTATTATTACTAATACCATAATCATCAGCAGCAGAAGCACTATCATTATCCTTATCCTCATTCTTATCACTGATGATAATAATAAACGAAATGTAATAATGATAATATTATTATTGATAATTGTACTAATAGTAATAATAATAATAATGATAATGGTAATAATAATGATAATGATAATGATAATAATAATGATAATGATAATAATAATAATAATAATAATAATAATAATAATAATGATAATAATAATAATAATAATAATAATAATAATAATAATAATAATAATAATAATAATAACAATACTACTACTACTACTACTACTACTACTACTACTACTACTAGTAATGATAATAATAATAATAATAATAATAACAACAATAATGATGATAATGATAATACTACTACTACTACTAATGAAAAATTAACGATACTGATAACAATAATGATGATAATGATAATGATACTGCTTATAAAAATGATGAAAATAATAATAATTGTAAGGAAAAAAATACAGTCAGAACTATAACAACAACAATATAAACAATAACAAAAAACCAACAATAATCACGATAATGACAACGACAATGATGATAATGATAATGGTTATAAAAATGATCATAATAATAATAATTGTAAGGAAAAAAATACTGTCAGAACTATAATAACAACAATATAAACAATAACAAAAAAACAACAATAATCACGATAATGACAACGACAATGATGATAATGATGATAATGATACTGCTTATAAAAATGATGATAATAATAATAATTGTAAGGGAAAAAATACAGTCAGAACTATAACAACAACAATATAAACAATAACAAAAAAACAACAATAATCACGATAATGACAACGACAATGATGATAATGATGATAATGATACTGATTATAAAAATGATGATAATAATAATTGTAAGAAAAAAAATACAGTCAAAACTATAAAAACAACAATATAATCAATAACAAAAAAACAACAATAATCACGATAACGACAACGACAAAGATAACTCCAAAGACGCTCCTGCTCTCGCCAGCCCTCCTTCGCTTCCCTCTCCTCACCTGGCAGGGATCGAGGCCCCCGTGCGTGAGGTTCCCCGCGCACATCATGGAGTCGGTGATGGCTTCCCCGTAGGCCCCGATGCAGTCTTCGGTCGAGAGGAGAGGCGCGTAGGCCATGAGCACCAGGTGGGAGATCTCGCTGACTTCCGCCGTGCGCCCCCAGCCGGCGATGAGGCCCATTTCTGTGTGAGGGGAGAGAGGGAGTAGGGGAGGGTGTGAGAGAAAGAGGGAGGAAGGAGGAGGGAGTGGGTAAGGGAGAGGGAGGGAGAGGGTGGAAGAGAGATAGATAGATAGATAGATAGATAGAGAGAGAGAGAGAGAGAGAGAGAGAGAGAGAGAGAGAGAGAGCGAAAGAGAGAGAGAGAGAAAGAGAGAGAGAGAGAGAGAGAGAGAGAGAGAGAGAGAGAGAGAGAGACGCGGAGACAGCTATCCATTCATCAATCTCTCCATCCATCTATCCATCCATCCATTATCCATCCCTCCACCCATCCATCCATCTATCAGCCCAGCCCTCCCTCCCTCCTAACCATCAATCTCTCCCTCCATCCCTTCATGCCTTCATTCCTCCCTACCTCCATCCCTCCATCCACCCCTCCATCCCTCCATCCCTCCATCCACCCATCCCTTCATCCCTCCCTCCCTCCCTCCCTCTCTCCCTACCTCCCTACCTCCCTACCTCCCTCCATCCCTCCATCCACCCATCCCTTCATCCATCCCTGCCTCCCTACCTCCCTCCCTCCCTCCCTCCCTACCTCCCTCCATTCCTCCATCCACCCATCCATCCCTCCATCCATCCCTCCCTCCCTCCATCCATCCACCCAAAAGCGAGAGCCAAAAACGGGCCCAACCGTTGTCGTGCGGGTGGGCGAAGTGGAGGTGATGGTGCGTCGGCGGCAGAGGCAAGGGGGCGACCCTCTCGTTGTACAGGAACCAAGGGAACACCCTCAGGAGCGCCACGTCGTTGTTCTGGGTGAAGAGGTCGTACTCGGGATGGACCTCCATGCGCGTCACCTTCTTGATCTGCTCCCAGCCCTCCGCCTCGTCCAGGTCGTACTCCCCAGCCACGACCTGCAGGAAGAGGGTGTTCGGTTTTTACAGGTGGTTGGTTCTCGATGGATAGGGGTGAGGGGTGAGGGGGGTGCTAGGGGGGAGGGTAGTTCTCTGTGTGTGTATGTATCTATGTATGCATATGTGTATGTATGTATGTATGTGTATGTGTATGTATGTATGTATGTATGTATGTATGTATGTATGTGTGTATGTGTATGTATGTATGTATGTATTTATGTATATATGTGTGCATATTTGTATGTATATATGTATGTATGCATGAAAGTAT